ATTATCGGCCGATTAGTCTGTGCAACGTGAGCAACAAGATCATCACGAAGTTGCTCACGGTGCGCCTTGGGACTTTACTACCGCGCCTCCTTTCACCGCATTAGAGCGGATTTGTGAAGGGGCGTGCGATTGCGGATAACATTCTGATGGCATCTGAGATGGTTCATGACTTGAACCTTAGAGGCACGTCGCACAACGTGCTTCTGAAACTGGACCTTAATAAGGCATATGATCGGGTGTCTTGGCTTTTTTTGAGACATGCCTTGTTGAGGTTCGGTTTTGCGGAGGCGTTTATTACATTGGTGATGCATTGTGTAGAGCATGCTTACTACTCCGTTTTGATTAACGGAGACCTTGGGGGATTTTTTAAATCCTCCAGGGGGGTCCGGCAGGGAGACCCGTTGTCGCCTACTTTATTTGTGCTTGCGGCGGACCTGCTGTCGAGGGGTTTGGAGCGTCTTTACCAGGGACATCCGGAGCTTTACTTTCGGTGTAGAGGAGGGTTTCGGTTGTCTCACTTAGCATATGCCGATGATGTGCTGATATTTGCGAGTGCCTGTGGGGAGCAGATGAGCTCTTTGACGACTTTTTTGGCCGATTATGCGAGGATCACCGGCCAAAAGGTCAATTGTCAGAAGAGCTCGATTGTTTTTAGTCGACGATGCCCGGGGGAGGTCCGGGAGCAGCTTCAGTCAGTCACGGGCTTCAGAGGGGCTGACCTACCCCTTACTTACCTTGGTGCGCCCCTCTATGTGGGGAATCAGAGGAGCATATTGTATGAGGAGCTTCTGGGGAAGCTTCGGAGGTATTTGAGCAGCTGGGACCGGGCTGTACTATCACATGGAGGTCGATTACAGCTTATCCGGAGCACACTCTTATCCCTACCACTATACTTACTTCAGGTCCTGCATCCTCCGCAGTCGATCCTTCATGAGGTTGAGCAGATCTGCGCACGTTTCTTTTGGGGCTCGTATCATGGTCATCGCCAGTGTCATTGGATTTCGTGGGCAGATGCGGCACGGCCGCAGGATGAGGGTGGATTAGGAGTTAGGAGATTATCAGATTTGGTTCATGCCTTCTCTATGAAGCTTTGGTGGAAGCTTCGGGAGGGTTCTTCATTGTGGGCGCAGGCGATGCGGCACAAGTACTTTCGCAATTCCTTCCCGGGGAGAGCCCCTTGTCGGATATACGACAGCCCGGTGTGGAAGCGCTTGTGCCGTGTTAGGGAGGAGGTCCAGTTGCAGATATTCTGGACGCTAGGTCGAGGGGAGTGTTTCTTTTGGGAGGACAGATGGTTCGGGGAGCAGCCCCTTTCGACCTTCCGGGGAGACAGCCGGCCGCCTCCGTCGATACTGGTCCGAGATATGTGGACAGAGGGGTCGTGGGATATTGGGCGACTACGTGCTTATCTTCCGGAGGCTTTAGTACAGCGTGTTATTGAGATCCCCTTCGACAGGTTGACAGAGGATCGGATGAGTTGGATGGCTTCGGCATCCGGTACATTTACTACCTCCTCAGCTTGGGAGCTTTGTCGAGACACAGGGGTACAGAGTTGGCTTTCGGGTTTACTATGGTCGCGGATCCTGACCCCGACGATGTCGGTCTTTTTGTGGAGACTGTTTCGGCGGCGTATACCGATGGATGAGATCCTTCAGCACTATGGGATTCCGATTGTATCACGCTACCACTGTTGTCATGCGGAGATAGAGACTATCTCACATGTCTTTATTGATTCGGGAGTTGCCATGAGAGTCTGGGGGCACTTTGCAGCATTATTTGGGATATCGTTGCCGGAGACACACACCCCGCATTTGTTGGTGTCATCATGGAGACTCTCTTCGACGCGTTCTCAGAGTATTAGGGCGTATGTTCCATTATTGGTATTCTGGTTCATTTGGACAGCTCGGAATGACGCGAAGCACAGGGGGCTTCGAGTGTCTTCCGAGAGGATCATTTGGCGGATTCATGCGCATTTACAGACCCTATGGCGGGCAAGGGTCCTTCTGCGTCGACATTGGGAGGGCGATCTCCATATTGCTGATGGGCTTGGATTTCGATATCCCTCTCCGGTCCCTCGACCTCCGATTATGGTGCGTTGGGAGGCACCGTCCCCGGGATGGTTCAAGCTTAACACCGATGGTGCTTCGCTTGGCAATCCCGGGGCGGCAGGAGCGGCCGGTCTTATCCGGGATTCGACTGGAGCAGTGATCGTCGCATATCAGGTTCCGATTTCACACGCGACGAACACTCTGGCAGAGCTGACAGTGATTCAGAGGGGAGTTGGGATTGCGATTGATCGAGGATTGGTGCCGTTGTGGATCGAGACAGACTCGACGGCATGTATTTCTCTGATCTCCTCCTCGATGAGTCATTGGTCGCTTCAGAGGTGTCTTCTTACTCTTTGCATGCGCTTACGGGATACGACTTGGAGGATCTCGCACATTTATCGGGAGGGGAACCGTGTTGCGGATATTTTAGCGACGACGGCGGTCTCCCTTCCGACGGAGCGGATACTTCCTCCGATGGATCTCCCTCGGGCGACTAGAGGCCTCCTTCGAGCGGATGCTGACGGACTTCCGGGCTTCCGTTTCCGGGTGTAGGCCTCGTATTGGTATGACGTTATTTACTCTTAGCTTGATTGGCTTAGTGTTGAATGGTGTTGATACTTTGATTACCTAGGCCTGTCATAAAAAAAAAAAAAAAAAAAAAAAAAAAACCCTAAACCCTAAACCCTGCCGGAGCTACGACAGCCCGGTCTGGAAGCGTCTTTGCCAGATTCGAGAAGAGGCACGGACTCAGCTCATTTGGAACTTGGGGCGTGGGGAGTGCTTCTTTTGGTATTCCTATGGCGTTTATTTCGCCGTCGGATACCCGTCGATGAGGCCTTACGGAAGATGGGCCTCCCTATTGTCTCTTGCTGCTAGTGCTGTCGGGAGTCTGAGACGATTGATCATTTATTCTTCTCGTCGGCGGTTGCCCAGCGCGTGTGGCACCATCTCGCCGACCTATTTCACATCCAACTTCCGCGGACACATGCGCCCCACCTGATGGTTTCTGCTTGGCGTTTGTCCTCCCCTCATGCGCGGAGTATCCGTACTTATGTCCCACTTCTGGCCTTCTGCTTTCTTTGGACGGCACGGAATGACGCCAAACACCGAGGTATCCAGATTTCATCTGACCGGATTATTTGGCGTATTCACTCTCATTTGCAGGTCTTAGGCCGTGCTGGCATCCTTCAGCGTCAGCACTGGCCTGGGGAGGTGCACCTAGCCTCTAGTCTCGGCCTTCGCCTCCCACCTCCGGTTCTTCGGCCGCCGGTCATGGTGCGTTGGGAAACTCCGTCTCCAGGCTGGTTCAAACTTAATACTGATGGGGCATCGCTCGGCAATCCAGGCGCTGCTGGAGCCGCGGGCGTCATTCGGGATGCCACCGGCGCTCCACTCGTGGCATTCCAAGTTCCCCTTTTGGATACGACAAACACTTTGGCTGAATTGCAGGCGATTCAATCCGGCGTGGACCTGGCGGTAGCGCGCGGCCTCCTCCCTCTCTGGATCGAGACGGACTCTACCAGCAGTATCTCTCTCATCTCCTCCTCGACGGGACACTGGACTCTCCAGCCTTGTCTCCACCACCTGCGCCTACAGCTTCGCAGCATCGACTGGAGGATATCTCATATTTATCGCGAGGGCAATAAAGTGGCGGACAACTTGGCGAACACCTCTGTTGCCCTTCCTCACACGCGGATCCTGGAGCTGGCGGACATCCCTGCGAGGACTCGTGGCCTCATCCATGCTGACGCGGCGGGCCTCCCGTGCTTTCGCTTCCGTTAGCTTTTATTTTTTAAATTTTTATTTATTTCCTTTTCCAGCACTTGTACCGAACTTTGCAGAACTACGTATGGCTTGATCCCGTTTGGGTACGTAGGCAGCTCTTTGAGCCCAGCCAAAAAAAAAAACCCTAAACCCTAAACCCTAAACCCTAGACCCTAGACCCTAGACCCTAAACCCTCTTTAATCTCCTCCTCGACGGGACATTGGACACTCCAACCTTGTCTCCACCACCTGCGTCTCCAACTACGCACCATCGAGTAGACGATTTCCCATATCTACTGTGAGGGCAATCAAGTGGCGGACAACCTAGCGAACTTATCTGTCCCCCTTCTTCAGATGCGGATCCTGGAGCCAGCGGACATCCCCGCGAGGGCTCATGGTTTCATCCATGCTGACGCAGCGGGCCTTCCGTGCTTTCGCTTTCGTTAAGCTTTATTTGCTGGTTTAAGTTTCTTTTTACTACTTATCCTTTTTCAGACATAGTACGCACAAACTTTTAGAACTACGTATAGCTTGATCCAATTTGGGTATGTAGGCAGCTCTTTGAGCCCAGCCAAAAAAAAAAAACCCTAAACCCTAAACCCTAAGCGCAGATTTGGCTCTAGTCGGGATGAGGATTCTTCATCGTTTGATATGGTGTCAGAGGATTCACCACTTCTCAAGGATGGTACCCCGCCATCCTTGTGTGATGCATTAGCTTGTTCCCCCCGTGGAGAGAGGAGTGTTGGATCTCGGGAGAGCTCTGGGTCTTTTCAAGAGCCTTCCGACCGACTGGATAGCCGGGAGGCGCATTCTTCGTCTTTTGAGATGGATCTGGATGGCTCGCCGCTTATTGGGGATAGTTCTCCATCATCCTTATTCGATGTGTTAGCTCTTTCTCCTCGTGGGGATAGGAGTTTTGTTTCAGGGATCCTGTCTCGGGAGAGTTCACGGCCTTCATCGGAGATAGATGATCTTCGACAGTCTTGTCGGTTGCATCGGTGCCGCCTCCGGTCTTGGCCCTATTGGTGGTGGAGCCTGAGGGGATGATTGGTTCCCCAGCGAGGGAGGAGTCAGAGGTTCCTCCGGGAGTCAGTGTACAGATCAGACCGCCACTTCCTGAGGTGAGTCCCCGCATTACTCGTAGTATTGCCCGCCTTCAGGCACGATCGTCCGTCCCCCCACATTCCTATGACTGATTTTTCGTTCTTAGTTTGGAACGTTCGAGGTGCGGGGAACTCCCGGGCCCAGCGGGAGATACATTACTTGTGTTGTGAGCATCGGGTGCGTATACTGCTATTATTGGAGCCTATGGTTGAGGCGGCGCTGGAGTATTTCTGTCGTCGCCTAGGATTCGCTCAGATGATAAGGAATGAGGCGAACACGATTTGGTTGTTTGTAGATAGCTCATTCCATATTCAGATGCTTGCGAGTGACGATCAGTGGATTTATGTGCAGTTATCGTCCCCACAGATTCGTCGACCTTTCCTGCTGACAGGGGTTTATGGGAGATGTAGTGTGGTCAGGCGTCGGGAGATATAAAGTTTTTTTTAGGAGACTGCAGCCTCCGATGTTGAGGTTCCTTGGATAGTCGGTGGCGACTTTAATGCCATCACAGATATTTCAGAGAGGGAGGGCCCAGGACGGCCGCGGCTACGATCGATTCAGGATTTTTCGGGCGCTCTCCTTGATGCGGGACTGGTAGATGCAGGTTTTGAGGGTCCTCAGTTAACTTGGACGAACCGGCGGGTGTGGAAGCGCCTGGATCAGATACTGTATAGCCGTTTTTGGGAGGAGTTTGCGGAGTCCACGCGGGTTCGGCACCTCCCACGGATGTGTTCTGATCATGCACCCATTTTGGTTCGGGTCTCACATGAGCGACATCGGGTTTCATCAACATTTTGATTCCAGAGCATCTGGATTTGCCATCACTCCTTTCTGGATAGAGTCCGAGAGAGTTGGGAGGTTCCGACGTGGGTGTCGGGGCTTCTCAGCCTACGCTTGAAGCTAGGGAGGCTCGAGCGAATATTGAGATGGTGGAATCGTCATGTTTTTGGTGATGTATTCCATATTTTGGCGGAGGCCGAGAGGAAGGCTGCGGAGTGTGAGGCCGAGTATGACAGGGATCCTTCGGAGTCTACTTTGTTGCACCGACAGCGTAGTGCGGCAGCCTTAACGCATGCCATTGCGCTGGAGGAGGCATTATGGCGGCAGAAGGCCGCATGTCGATGGGCGGTCGATGGGGAGAGGAACTCCCGAATGTTTCACTCAATGGTCCGGGAGTGCCGTCGGTGCGCATCTATCTTCTATATAAGAGATGGTGAGCGGGAGCTTACGGAGCACTCGGACATCAAGGCATCGGCAGTATCTTACTTTGCCTCGATGTTCCGAGAGCCGGATGATGTTGACACTTCGGGGATGGATGAGTTGGCGGACATGCCGCCGCAGGTTCCTCCAGAGGAGAACCAGCGGCTTTTGGCGCCGCCGATGTTGGCAGACGTTCGGGAGGTTGTATTCTCGATAGATCCGGATAGTGTGGCAGGTCCAGATGGATAAACGACGGCTTTTTACAGGGCTTGTTGGGAGATTGTTGGTCCGGATGTGTTAGCGGCTGTTTTGGACTTCTTTTCGGGGACCCTGCTCCCGAAGTTTTATACGGCCACCACCATCGTCCTCATCCCAAAGAAGGATGCTCCGGAGTCTTGGGCCGATTATAGGCCGATTAGCCTGTGCAACGTGAGCAACAAGATCATCACAAAGTTGCTCACGGTACGCCTGGGGACTTTACTGCCGCGCCTCCTTTCACCGCATCAGAGTGGGTTTGTGAAGGGGCACGCGATTGCGGACAACATTTTGATGGCATCCGAGATGGTTCATGACTTGAACCTTAGAGGCACGTCGCACAACCTGCTTCTGAAACTGGACCTTAATAAGGCATATGATCGGGTGTCTTGGCGATTTTTGAGACATGCCTTGTTGAGGTTCGGTTTTGCAAAGGCGTTTATTACATTGGTGATGCATTGCATAGAGCATGCTTATTACTCGCCTAATCTGTTTGTGCTTGCGGCGGACCTGTTATCGAGAGGGTTGGAGCGTCTCTACCAACGACTTCCGGACCTTTATTTTAGATGTCGAGGAGGATTCCGGTTGTCCCACTTAGCATATGCCGATGATGTACTGATCTTTGTGAGTGCTTGTGGGGAGCAGATGAGCTCTTTGACGACCTTTTTGGCTGATTATGCGAGGATCACTGGCCAAAAGGTCAACTGTCAGAAGAGCTCGATTGTTTTTAGTCGACGATGCCTGGAGGAGGTTCGGGAGCAGCTTCAGTCAGTCACGGGCTTCAGAGTGGCTGACCTTCCCCTTACTTACCTTGGTGCGCCCCTCTATGTGGGGAATCAGAGGCGTATTTTGTACGAGGAGCTTCTGGGGAAGCTTCGGAGATACTTGAGCCGTTGGGATCGGGCTGTCTTATCACATGGCAGTCGATTACAGCTTATCCGGAGCATATTTTTATCCCTACCACTATATTTACTTCAGGTTCTACATCCTCCACAGTCGATTCTTCATGAGGTTGAGCAAATATGTGCGCATTTCTTTTGGGGATCGTATCATGGTCATCGCCAGCGTCATTGGATTTCGTGCGTGGATGCGGCACGACCACAGGACGAGGATGGTTTGGGTGTTAGGCGATTATCGGATATGGTTCGTGCTTTCTCTATGAAGCTTTGGTGGAAGCTTCGTGAGGGATCCTCTTTGTGGGCGCAGGCGATGCGGCACAAGTACTTTCGCGACTCCTTCCCGGGTAGAGCCCCTTGTAGGATATACGACAGCCCGGTGTGGAAGCGCTTGTGCTGCGTTAGGGAGGAGGTTCAGTCGCAGATTTACTGGACTCTAGGTCGGGGGGAATGTTTCTTTTGGGAGGACAGATGGTTCGGGGAGCAGCCCCTCTCGACCTTCCGGGGAGACAGCCGGCCACCACCGACGATACTGGTCAGGGATATGTGGACAGAGGGGTCATGGGACGTTGGGCGACTACGAGCTTACCTTCTGGAGGCTTTAGTGCAGCGCGTTATTGAGATCCCCTTCGACAGGCAGACTGAGGATCGGATGAGCTAGATGTCTTCGGCATCCGGTAAATTCACTACGTCTTCTGCTTGGGAGCTTTGTCGGGACACAGGGGTACAGAGTTGGCTTTCGGGGTTATTGTGGTCGCAGATTATAACCCCGACGATGTCAGTATTCTTGTGGAGACTGTTTCGGCGATGCATACCGATGGATGAGATTCTTCAGCACTACGGGATCCCGGTTGTATCGCGCTTTCATTGTTGTCATGCGGAGATAAAGACTATCTCCCATGTCTTTATTGATTCGAGAGTTGTCAGGCGAGTTTGGAGGCATGTTGCTGCACTATTTGGGGTATCATTGCCGGAGACACACACTCCGCATCTGTTAGTATCATCATGGAGACTCTCTTCGGCACATCCTCAGAGCATTAGGGCGTATGTTCCGTTGTTGGTATTGTGGTTCACTTAGACAGCTCGGAATGACACGAAGCACAGCGGGCTTCGCAAGTCTTCCGAGAGGATCATATGGTGGATTCACGCGCACTTGCAGACTCTATGGCGTGCTAGGATCCTTCTGCGTCGACATTGGGAAGGTGATTTCCATATTGCTGTTGGGCTTGGGTTTCGGTATCCCCCTCCGGTTCCTCGGCCTCCGATTATGGTGCGATGGAAGGCTCCGTCTCCGGGATTGTTCAAGCTTAACACCGATGGTGCTTCGCTTGGCAATCCCGGAGCGGCTGGTGCGGCAGGTCTTATTCGGGATTCGGATGGTGTAGTGCTTGTCGCATATCAGATTCTGATTTCACACGCGACGAACACTCTGACAGAGCTGACGGCGATTCAAAGGGGAGTTGGGATAGCGATTGATCGAGGATTGGTTCCATTATGGATCGAGACAGACTCGACGGCATGTATTTCTATGATCTCCTCCATGATGAGTCATTGGTCGCTTCAGAGGTGCCTTCTTGTTCTTCGTATACACTTATGGAACGCAACTTGGCGGATCTCACACATTTATCGGGAGGGAAACCGTGTTGCAGATATGTTAGCGACGATGGCGGTCTCCCTCCCGACGGAGCGGTTACTACTTCCGGCAGATCTTTCCCGGGCGACTCGAGGCCTTCTGCGAGCGGATGCAGACGGACTTTCGCCTTTCCGTTTCAAGTAGCAGGCTTCGTCTTGGTATACTTGCCTTTACTTGATTTTGATACTTAGGCTTGATAGGCTTAGTGTTGGTTGGTATTGATGACTTAGGCATTTAGCCTTAGGATAGATATTTTGATTACCTAGGCTGGTCTTGCATATTGCTTACTTGGACTATGTAGCGCTGCTAAGAACTATGTATGGCTTGATCCCGTTTGGGTACGTAGGCAGCCCACTTTGGGTTCAGCCATTGCTATATAGTTTTAAAAAAAAAAACCTAAACCCTAAACCCTAAACCCACACATATTGCACAGTTTATCGGATATGTTTTATGGATCTATCGTTTAGTCGCCATGTGCGGTAGTGCTAGGCGAGGGCATCATCTGGGGTTAGGATATTCGACCCCGATGTACCGTAACACTTTGGCGATAGTGAACGATAGTAGTCGGACAATTGGGTAACTTAATCGCACGGTCATTCAGGGATTAGACCCATTGTAGTTGAGACGTATTCGGTCTAATCATTCATGTTCGGTGTTGTTCCACTCATTGGAGTAGCTACTAGTGAGGTCTACCGGTAGTGTAGGATCATATTCCAAACTCCAAACGTGATCCCGTTAGGGCGCACGAGGAGTAGAGTTTCCGAGTTTCCCTTGGGTGATTCCAGGTTGCACGAATTCTACTACATTACACGGGATAAGGCTAGTCAGTAGGGGTCCCAACTTCGCTATCACAGACTTTGGGGCGTCTTGTGGTTAATGGCGACAACGTATCCATGTATTGATTGTGGGAGTCGTATGTTGGGTATATGGGAGTGACCGGATGACTGTTATATTATTATGGGTTTATCAGGTCCTTCCCTGAGCCGAGGATTTTCCGGCTAATTATTGATAATAGTCTAGTAAGCTTGTTATTACGGGGCCGAGGGTATTCCAGCTGCTCACTTAGACAGATGTAGTGAGCCTATGATTATGGAGCCGAGGTTATCCCGACTGCTCACTTCGGCGGATGTATATATATGTGGATGTGAATTGTTGTCGAGTTTAATATTTGTATTGCATCATTTCACTATTGGCATGACATGACACGTATTTTATGATTAACGGGAATTAGACTTTATTTTAAAAAGGTATGAAATGACATATTTCACGTTAGTTCTTAAAATGAATTTAATTCTAGACTGCTTTTAAGAAAATATTTGTTTCAGGTATGCATGGCACATCCGAGACAGGGGACGTCTGGGGATATAAAAAGACGGGCTGAGTGAGTGAACTTACGTCTATTGTATTATATGTAAATTTTTAACCGGAAAAACCTCTTGTTAAGGGGTGTATTTTGTAAATATTTATAAATCAAATTCTGTTATATAATAATGTGCTTTTATGGTTAATTTTAGCCTTAACACTGTATTGTAGAGTCTGAAATAGAAGATGACGACCTCATAATACAGTATGGCGGTAGCATTTCCAGTATGAACCAGTTGCGGGTGTTACACAAATCTTTTGTCACAAATTGCCATAGTCATAGCTCACTTCTAAAGAACCAGTGAAGAAGATTGGTGAAAATTGGGGAAAAAAAAATTAAGTTATAATTCACCGACATATGAGAAATTAGTGAAATAAAGAAGATGGAGAAGTGAAGAAAAAAAAAGAGGAGAAGTGAGAGAGAATCTAACCAGAGTGCAGCGGCAAAAATAGTTTTGGATTATGTAAAATTCTGTCGGGAATGGTAAGTTCAATCAAATCGTTGCAGTAGGATACAGAACCTGGTAATGTATTAACTGAAAAATGACACTAAAAATAATAATAATAAAAAAATCATCTATCTATATATTATCATTCCTGCAAGGCACCTCACGCCACGTGTATTTATTTAGCCATCAACCTTTAAATTTTCTGTCATTTGAAAAAAATATTTTTGTTTTGCAATAAACATCCTAATATATATTTTGCGTTAAAATTAAATTCAAATTAAATTTTTTTAAACAAAATAAATAAAACACAGCCTTTTTTATTATTTCAAATATTAGCCACAAAAGTAGATGCAAGGATAAAATCGCATACCTAAAAATGAAGTTTTGTTCATCCAAATAAATGTTATTCTTAATATATTTAATAAAAATTAATATTAAATATATAATATTATTTTTATAATATTATACAATTTTTTACCTCAGATAAAATAAAATAAACATAAAACTAAACCACTTAATAAACACAAATAAAAAATCGAAACAATAATAAGCCCTAACATTATCGAATCAATGTAAACTAGTAATAACTCCATTCGTATCAAGACTCCGAGGTTTAGATACAACAGTGTAGTCATTATATTTAGGTATAATTACTCATAAAATTTATATACTTTAAAAATTGTTTGGTGTCAATTTATACTTTAAAAACTATTAAATTTTCTTTGTGTAATAAAAAGATAATTTTCTATTTCTTTTAGATTTCACGTGCAATATTATTTGAAGTAAAATGAAAATTTATACTCAGTCTCAAAATAGGTTTCATACTAACGTTTTTTAAAATGTAAGATGCACTATGCAATTTTAAAAATAAAAAATAATTTAAGCTGAATTTCAAAATTACAAATAAATTACGAACAATTTTATCTTTTATTTATTTAATTCTCAACCAATCACCTGATCGGAAATTTACCTATAGCAGTGGTTGCAGGTGTTTCCACCGGAGATGGCCACATTATCACAAAAAAAAAAAGAAAAAAAGAAAAAAAGAATTTGGCACCAATTATCGTCAAACCAATATAACCTAGATCAAAATGATTAAGTTGGCTGACCAACATGAGAAGGAATGTCCTCGAGCATTTATATTTGAACTAAAATGGGTACATTTAATTATATTAAGATTATTATTGACTTTTTTTATTATAACTATATTGACTATTATAAATTTAAAATGTTTTTTTTTTAAATATAACAAAAAAAAATAAAATTTTAGACCAAAACAGCAAAGTATACGGTCGTATAGCAACATGGTCATGTATATACGCTAAAATATACATGGTTGTGTAGTTTTACATAATCAACTATCACGTCACCAATTTTCGTTAATTTTTTAACAGTAAAATCAAAATTGATTAAAATTATTTATAATTTGACCATTTAAATTTTTTATAATTAAATTAAAATTGATTAATTTTTATATTGTGATCGAAATTAATATTTTTTCAAAATAATAATATAAATAAAAATATTTATTTATTAAAAAAAAGTATAAGAAAACAAACGAATCCACTACAGACAACGCCTGCTGTCGAGAAGGACTACAGACTCAATTGTGCTATATATTAAAAAACAAAACAAAGAAAAAAAAAAAGAAGAAGAAGATCCCGTTGCCGGGACTTGAACCCGGATCTCTCGGGTGAGAGCCGAGTATCCTAACCAACTAGACTACAACGGATTCACTGAAAACGAGATCGTAAACAATTTTAATGTTTCTTTTAAATAAAAATTTAAAGTATAAAACACTAAAACCCTGCTTTCCCTTCCCGTTGCCTCTGCATCTCCTATCCGCTGAGTAGTATTACGGCTGAGGTACTTCGTAATTCCTCTTGCTTTTTTTTTTTTATCTTGCTTCTGGTTTTGAATTGTTGATTCTTTAAGATTTTCAGGAGATTTTTTTCGTTTCCATATCTACTATAGTTAGGTACCGAAGCGGCTGAAGAAAATTGTAGCAGCACTTAATTTCTCTTTTTTACACACTTATCATTTTTATTATATCTATCACTCTTGGAATTAATATGGTGGTAATTTATACGGTTCGGTTCTATGTTGTAAATTAGATTTTTCTCTCCCTCTCCCTCTCCCTCTGTCTCTTTATTTATTTAGTTATTTTTTTATGTGATTGTTGAGGATGGTAGAGTGAAGGGTGTCTGGCGTTGAAGAAGATGAAGTAATACTTGCTTGATATAAGCAATGCATATTAATGTGGTATTGATGGTATATATTTTTGTTGAACTATTTGTTTTCTTTTATGTTAATTTATAAAGTTAGATACTAGAAAATAAATTTTAAGAAGAAATAAGTGAACAGAGAATTGGCATATAATTTGATGCATTTGTCCTCTACCGTTCAGTTTCCCAAAATTGTCATAAACTGAACAGAAAATAATCTTTTTGTACATATGCATTGATTGATTACTTTTTGGTTGTGGCATTTAGTTTTGCCTCGTCACTTTGTATTGTTCATGACCTTCTCTGGCTCTGGTGCATCAGCAATTTAAATTTTACACATCTTTAATATTCTTTTTTCTCACGCCCATCATAGACACAGTACCTTTTCCACTGGATGTTTCCTTATATCAATATAATGAGCAGATGTTTTCTACTGCCATACATGCAACATAATTGTGCATTCTGAGTAGTTTCGGTATGTAAGCAGTTTCATTTAGAATCTTTGTTATTTATTTAAGTTGTGGTGTACTATAACCTTTTTGCATGTCACATGAACTAGTTCAAGAATCCTGGGTGGAAGAAATTGATGCAGTTTGTATAAAATCAATGATGTCTTCTGGGTTAACTTACAGTCCCTTGAGTTATAGCCTAGGATTGCCTGGGTTGAGATCACACAAGAAACAATTTGTGTGCCTTCATGATTTTGGAAGATCCGAGGATTTGCTATTTTCTCAAAGGTTACATTCTCTTAATCAATTTGCTGGTTATCCCGTATCCTATATGTCATCACTAATATCTCGTAGTGACAAATCATGTAGGTATAATTCACATGCATTAGCTTGGAGATATAAAAAACGTGATCTTTCTCTCAAGTGTGCAATGGATGCTTCCTTTCAAGATGCTACTAATGATTCAAGTGGTAAAAAATTTATACAATGTATTGGTTATTGAATTGTTCTTGTTTACAGTAGTTTGATGCGAGGTGATAGTTCTGATCTTAGGTTTTGGGTAAATGATCAGCTATTTTTAAGAGTTATGCATTCTGGCGTGTGGCAATAATTTGAAAACAGTCATCTTCTTGACCCAAGTAAATAATATTATCTTTTCATACTCCTAAATGTTTTATTGTGATTGATTACCAAAAGAGAAAGAATTGCCTGCTGTTTCACTTGCGTCTGGTGAATTTACAGGGCACTCTCAAGTAAGGGTGTGTTTGTTTGGGGGTTTGAATTTTGAGTTGGGATTTGAATAGGAAAAATTTTGAATTTGAATAGTTGTATGATGTGATATAAATAGGTGATGATGTGATGTTTTGAATGTAAAATTGATTTTTAGTATAATATAAAAAATGAAAAATAGGTGTTTGATTTGATGTTTTTGGGGGAAAAATTTTGGATGAATAGTGGAATTTAATCCAAATCCATCAAACGAACACACCCTAAATGTTTTTTTTTTCTTAGTTTTGGATTTGGATTTTGAATTGAAATAGTTGTGTGATATCAATGTGTTATGTGATGTTTTGAATATAAAATTGATTTTTAGTATAATATAAATAAATAAATAAAAATAAGTGTTTTGATTTGATATTTTTTTAAAGGAAAAAAAATTTGATGAATAATAAAAAATTTCCAAAAATTCCAAACAAACACAACCTACTTTTCTAAAGTACGGATGTTAGGACCCCAACTGAGCAATCCCATCGTGCTCTCAGGTTCTTTATTAATGACTGTTGTTTAATAATCTCGCATTGACATTCTCGATGTCTTTATCATGGAGGCTGGTACTGTTATTCTTCATATTTGTTCGATCCCATTGTTACAGCTGTCTTTCCTAGAATCAATGTGAAGGACCCTTACAAGCGGCTAGGAATCAGTAAGGAAGCATCTGAAGATGAAATTCAAGCTGCCAGAAACTTTCTAATACAAACATATGGGGGACACAAGCCCAGCGTGGATGCAATTGAATCAGCGCATGATAAAATTATAATGCAAAAATTCTATCAAAGGAAAAATCCTAAAATCAACATCAAGAAAAAGGTCAGAGAAATAACAGAGTCTCGCTACATGCAGGCTGTAGCAAGCAGGTTCATGACCCCATCATCAAATGTCCTTGTGAAGACTTCTGTTGCTTTCATAACACTTGGAGTACTCACCGTACTCTTTCCAACGGAAGAAGGCCCAACACTTCAAGTTGCCATTTCCTTGATTGCCACAGTGTATTTCATTTATGAACGCTTGAAGAGCAAATTGCTGGCTTTTCTCTATGGGTAATCTCTTTTCTCAAGAAAGAAATGACTGTTAGATTATTCTCAAGCAGTTGCAGTGTCCCCTTTATTTTTAAAGATGACTGTTGATAGAAATGCTACTTCACTTGTGCAGGGCTGGGAGTTTTGCTATTGCATGGCTTCTAGGAACGTTTTTTATGGTTTCTGTGATACCGACCATACTCAAAGGGCCTAGAAGTTTGGAAGTAACCACCTCTTTGCTAAGTTATATTATCCTCTGGGTTTCTTCAACTTATCTCCGATAGCCAACGGTCATTTGCATCCCAGTTTAGCTAGATAAATTGTAGCTGCTTCTGGATGCAATGGAAAAGATTCGAGTGCTTCATACCACTCTGGTGCTGTGCTTTCTGTTTCCAGTCAACAGTGGACATTGAAGAAGAGCCGGACAAATGTTGATACTTATCTAAGAGAAGATGGTATTAGTCGAAAATTGTCCACTCAAATTTTGAGGACGGATTATTGGCTACATGGCAACTCTTCTGAAGTGTTTGTGATATGTTTGGGGTGGTTTGCTTAAAATTTTGAGATTATTGTTACTCCTGTCAGTATTGAAGTTTCACTGCTTGTTGAAATCGTGTTTCAATGATGGACTTGTTGGCACTGAAGATGCCTAAGCTATATTGGAACTGGAGTAGCTGCTGCTGCTGCTTTCTTCATTGTAGTTAATATTTTGATTGGCAAAATTTGGTCTGGCATTTTCTCTGCTGCTCATTGCACCTCAAATGTGTCCAACTGATTTGAGTGGCAAGCATTGCTTATGAGTTGGGACATGCTACAGGTCGGCGTCAGCTTCAAGTGCTGGCTTGATGTCACAGCCTAAGATTTTCTACGGCCAGCCTCTTCCTCCTGTCCTGTGCTTGGGACTTGACGAAGAAACGGACGAGGAACCAGAGCGAGTAGTGTGTGGCTTTAATTTTAGGCGGGTGGATGTTTATGGTCAGTATTGCCCAGCAATTGTCACCTACCCACGGCAGGAAATAAGTTCACATTACTACTCTTGCCGGTAGGAAATATGTGTATGTTTCTATGATACAAATTTCTTAATATATATATATATATACACATTTACAAAGTATCACATTAAATATTATTTTAATACAAAAAAATAAGGGATGCAAGACTAGTACGTACGTAGGCAGGCAGGCAGGCAGAGATTGAGTTTGATTTTCCGCAAGCAAGCGCGCACACATGTATCCGTATATAACTTATATGATAATATTACGCTTCATTAGCTTTACAGTAAATCGTAGTTAGGCCTGGCAGGCAGGCAGGCAGTCTGGGGTATCCATTAAGCAACATTTACAATTGGGATTGATTCTGCCCAGAATTTGACTCATTCGTTCAGGCTGCTGTGGACCATGATTCGCGATGCGATTACACCATTTTTAAATTAAATATATATATATATATATATATTAGAAGAAATGTTCTTGGCAATTTTTATTTATTTTTTGTTTCAGGATTATTACCCTTTTGCCTTTGGTGCGCATTTGGCCATGTCAGCAAGTTATCGTCCCATGTGTCAGATCGTAATTGGCTGGTGATTCACAGCCTTAAAACATATATCTCCCCCCTCCCCGGGTGAGGGCTATATAATAGCTGTGCCCGTATCATGGCATTTCGCTCGCAGCAAGATTGATTTTGTGGGGAGGGGATTGATCCAACCAAGGCTACTTGGAGAGAGATCAGATAGATAGATACCCATTCCAATTCCATTCTTCTTATCTCACCTCCGAGCTAATTAAGGTTAAGTCCAAGTCCAAGTCCATGGCTTCAGCCTCACTCCTCAAGTCATCACCAGTCCTCGACAAGCCTGACTTCGTCAAGGGGCAACCCCTCCTCCGCCTGCAGCCGGCAGTGTTGGCCGTCCGCTCCCACCCGGTTTCCTCCTCTCCCCTCTCCATCCGTGCCAGCTCCTACGCCGACGAACTCGTCAAGACTGCGGTATGTATGTCTCTGATTAACGATAGATACACCAGGAAGCATTGCTCTATAATGATTTTTCAATTGACTGACTGACTGACTGCACTGAACTGACTGCTTTTAAGAACGACGTGGTTGATTGCTTTGTGTCCGGCCGTACAGGCAAAGGAGAGTCAAATTTTTTACTCACTCGAGGAAATTAATTGATTAATTAATTTTTTATATTTGTTTGTTGCGTGAACGATTTGCCGATTCCAGAAAACAGTTGCATCCCCTGGGCGTGGAATCCTGGCAATGGATGAATCGAACGCCACCTGTGGGAAGCGTCTAGCTTCCATTGGACTAGAAAACACCGAGGCGAACCGTCAAGCCTACAGGACCCTCCTCGTTACAGCTCCAGGGCTCGGTCAATACATCTCCGGTGCCATCCTCTTTGAGGAAACACTCTACCAGTCCACTGTAGATGGACGCAAGATTGTGGATGTCCTTGTTGAGCAGGGAATTGTTCCTGGAATTAAAGTTGACAAAGTAAAGTTTCATTTGTTTGTTGCAACACTAATTTGTCTTATATATATATACACACACGCACATGTATGTATATATTATAGAGGAGAGGAGGGGATCATATCATATCATACGTACGTATCTGCATGCAGGCAAAGCCAAGCTGCATAATATAATGTAATATATGTGTGTTGTTTGTTGTGCGGCAGGGTCTTGTCCCCTTGGCTGGCTCTAACAACGAGTCTTGGTGCCAAGGTCTTGATGGATTGGCTTCCCGATCTGCTTCTTACTACCAACAGGGTGCCCGCTTTGCTAAGTGGTACATACTTGTTTCTTCCTTCTGCTGCTTCATATTAACTAGCTAGGTTTCCAATTAGCAACGGGTGTGCTTTGCAATCGGTGTGGTGTGGTGTGGTGTGGTATGGTATGGTATTTATTGATTAGTTCAGCCTGAATGAGTAACCAACCAACCCCATTCATGGGATCACAAACTCAATTGTGGTGTGTTGGTACGACATCGCCTTATTCTTTCCTTAGATACCCACACATCTATCTATATGCCGTTGTTTGTTATCAATGCTGCAATTTGGCTGCATCACTGCAGGCGTACTATAGTGAGCATCCCAAATGGTCCATCTGCCCTTGCAGTGAAGGAAGCAGCATGGGGTCTTGCTAGATATGCGGCAATTTCACAGGTTTGCTATGAGCTCGGACTGACTGATTTCCAACTTATAAAGTTTTGTGCTTCTAGCATTCAAGAAATGCATCCATGTTTGTTTCAATTTGACAGGACAATGGATTGGTCCCCATTGTTGAGCCTGAGATCCTCCTGGACGGTGAGCATGGAATTGAGAGGACATTTGAGGTTGCTCAGAAAGTGTGGGCAGAGGTTTTCTTCTACCTTGCAGAGAACAATGTCCTGTTTGAAGGTATTTTGTTGAAGCCTAGCATGGTCACTCCTGGAGCTGAGTGCAAGGATAAGGTTGCGCCCGAAGTGGTTGCCAGCTATACTCTGAACCTCCTCAAAAGAAGAATCCCTCCGGCTGTTCCTGGAATCATGGTGAGTATACCCACACACACATGCACGCTAAAATGATCCATCTGTGAGGAATTGAACTGAAGTTGACTTGGTGTCGGCGTCCTGTGAACAGTTTTTGTCGGGTGGACAATCTGAGGTTGAAGCCACTCTCAACCTGAATGCAATGAACCAGGCACCCAACCCATGGCACGTCTCATTTTCTTATGCACGTGCACTCCAGAACACCTGCCTCAAGACATGGGGCGGAAGGCCGGAGAATGTTAAGGCAGCACAGGATGCTTTGCTTCTTAGAGCTAAGGCTAACTCACTAGCTCAGCTCGGGAAATACACTGGCGAGGGTGAGTCGGAGGAGGCCAAGGAAGGAATGTTTGTCAAGGGATACAGCTACTAAGTCTAAGAATAATGGATGATGATGATGATGATGTAAACACATATGAACCAAGCAAGGCCAGGCCACTCTGCTCTTATCTGTTGTAGAATTATTAATTATTGATATTTGTTTGTCTTACCTTCTTCTCCTTCTGTGCCTTTATAAGAAGTTTTGACGCTCGTTATAGAATTACGGTGGTGGGACTCGCATATGTGATGCTTCCTGGCTAACACACACTAAGTAACAGGCATTTACTACTCTTCATGGAATGTTAATGTTTGCCTGCCTGCCTGCCTGTGCCTGATCGATCGTACTACACAAGTGGAACTTGATCGTGAAGCACAGGAGTTGAGATCCGGAGTTCCTTCATTTTCATTTCTGCAGACAGCCACATACCTCTACCACTTGCCGTTGTGGAAAAAATATTACTGCTACCTCTGCCTGTCTGTCTCTCTATCTGTTTATGTGGGAATGAACATGCATGCTAGCCAATTAGATAAGCGAACGGCAGCTAAGAGCAACTCCGAAATCCAATCGATGCATCCAGCTTTATACACACTGTGACCAAACAATTGACCGACAAAAACAACACGTTGAAAATGTCACAAAATAAATGAATCTGCCTTCACTGATCACAAGTTAACTTCATTCAAACCACTGACAATAATAACTACGATGCCTGCTTATTCATATCATATCCAAATGATCTGTGACACACACATCCCTCACAGGGCGGGCAGACAAGGCTTCCCTTTCTCACCCATCTTCTCTTCCTTCCAACATCATGAGCTGCTGCTCTCCCCCTGAGTGCTGGCCTGTTCTGGTTGTTGTTGTTGACTATCTGCTCCTTTCTCTGCTGTAGCTGCCAGTTTCCCATCTTCCATTTTCTTCTCTGTTGCTGGCTTTGCCACCACCTTGGTTTGAGGTTTCTCCGCTGCCATCTCTTGCTCCATAGGTTCAGGTGTTTTCTCTTCAGGCTTCTCTTCTTTGGCTTCTGAATCAAGATTGTGCCCATCCTCTGCTACTCTCTCTCCCTCTGGTACTTGTGCCTCAGCTTGATCACCTTGTTTTCTCACTCTGTCCTCTTCCGCAGATGGTTTCTGCCCATCGGATTTTCCCATCCCTGGCACATTAGACTTTGTTGCCTCAGCTTGTTGCTTCTCCTTATTGAGTTTCTCTGCTTCTGGGGTTTCAAGTTCAACCACTAGTGTCAACTCGGCTTCAGGTTTCTCCTCTATCCCCTTCTCTATCAAGGTTGAGTCCTCCACACGATGCGACTCCAGTTGCTCCCTATTCAAACCAGATTTTTCAACAGCTTTATTTCTTATTTCATCAGGTTTCTCTGGCCCCTGGTTCTCTACTTCCTCCAAAGATTCATCAGTCTCTGCAGCAGTGTCAACAGGGTTCTCCTCTGGTGCCTTCAGAGGCGATGCTTCAGTTTCCACATATTGGCTCACTGATTCGACTTCCAGTGCTTTCTTTTCCTCCTCCAAACCTTTGTTTTCTAGCCCCGAATCAATATCTTTTGCGGCAGTATCTGTAACAGAGCGAGTATTTTCATTTTCTTGAGGCTGCTCCACCTTGGCTCTATCTTCTAGATCTACTTCCAAGGATTGTTTAATATTGTTCTTTGCTGCGCCGGCATCTCCTTCATTCTACAAACATCTCCATAAAACTTAGTGCTTACTTATAGTATACTGACAGGAGGGGAAAGCAAATACACAGAGTTGTTATTCTAAAATAGGTCACCCTAACAACAGGTTGAACACGCAAAACACTTGCTAAGAGACAAAATCAACCCACTACCAAGCAGGGAGCCAAGCACACACGTCAAAGACTAATTTCAATCGTATAGAGCATAAAGGCGCATTCCATTTCCTGCTGCCATGATCATCCTGAAATAATTATTGGCTCTTTGGCTTAAATTTTTATCTTTTCACTAGTTAGTCTCCTATAGAATTCGTAACAGACTGAAACAGTACAAAGCACAATACCCCTCCCCTCCGCAAAAAAGCATATTTTTCTACATCAAATTGCGTAAACCTAACCTGCCCCAATCGACATATACAGCACCTATATCAAGATAAAATAATATATATATATATATATATGTACAGAAATCAATCTGCTGAAGGCAGATTCACATTTTAATTGTGACAAAATAGAGGAGGAGGTGGATAGCGCTTGGACTTGACTGCTTCGATTTGCAAAGGAATGAATAGGAGAAGAGGGTGAGGTACAAATGAATGGTGTTTGTTTGTTACCTGTTTGAACAGATGGCCAAGCATTTGACGCTTGGGTTGATCATTTTCCGGCACAAGCCCAAGCGTAGTTGGGACATCCTGTCCAACTATTTCTTCGGCTGCGCTCAAATCTCTGGACGCTACGTCCTCCGGAGGCGCAGCGGCCGCCTTCAACACTTGAAACTTGCTCGCACAGGCTCCCATTTCCGGTGCCGGAATATTCCTGGGGTTGTTTATCAGGGCATTTACTAAGCTTGAATTTCCATGGGCTCCGGTCCTTGAACGCCCATATAGCTATCTATCTGTGGGAAGTGGAAAGAGCACGCTGACGCGAAAGAGTACTTATAGGGCGGGGCGGGCGGCGGACTTGGAATGCAGTCAGCACAGCAGTGAGTCGGGCAGGCAAGCAGATTAGATAGCCGCTGCGCTCGTTTGTTGGACCGTAGTGTAGTGGTAGTGGTAGTGAGGGCAGCACTCCGAACATTCTCGCCCAAATATGGGAGGGATATTCTGCCCTGCTTTGACCGACACCCAGAATTTCATCCACTTTGACTTCACTCTTTAAACCCAACAAAATGGACAAATAATATACATAAATATATGATTGTAAATTACTACAGTTACTCAAATAATATTATCAATTACCTATTTGATTTGATATTTATATTCAAAATTTAATGATTTGAATTTGAATAAAAAATATTTATTTCGATTCAAATATAAATTAAATATCAATATAAGATTTTAATATTTAATTTGATATTTATAAAGATTTGATTAGATAATAAAAACATAATATTAAATATAAACCAAATAAGCAATTCTAACAGCCTCTCTCTCTCTCTCTCTCTCTATATATATATATATATATAATCATTTTTCTCAATAATTAAAGGGACAACAAATACTACTATGCTATCATTTTTTCTTCCATGATTTGAGTTTTCATTTTCATTTATTTTGATTTGACAACAAATACTAAAATAGAGTATATAACATAATACAAATTTTTCTCTCAAAATTTAAGTTTGGATTGTATTTTACACAAGATTTAAAAAAATATTGATTTTATATTAGTAGTGATAAAAAGTATGGATGAAAATTAGTTTGAGATTTGATGTAGATTCTGGATTTGAATTTGTGAGAATATGTTTTAATTTGAATTGATTCTTGTTCATTAAATTGTTATTTTGTGTGAATTCTATGATTCATGCCTATAATTGTTTAATTTAATTTTTTATTGCGGTCGAATTTTAGATTAGTTTAGCAATTGTATGTCAATCCAACACTTGCATCCGTGATTGTGCATTTGTTTGATTAAGTGGCAAAGGAATCATATAATCAAATAATTTAATTTTTTCGTAATTGATTGAATATTTGAATAGAGTTTTTCTCATGTCATTTTTTATTAGGAAAAATAATCTATAGTCGTACATAGATTACTTCTTTGATTAGGGATATGATTAATCAGTCGTACTATTGCCACCAATAAAGTAAAAAAATGAGCGTCATGATCGTATCTAATGTATATAATTAATTTATCAATTGAACAAAATTATTTAAAATCGATGATCAAATCTATAATCCAATTTTTTTATTAATTCTTTGGGCTAGAAATTTAATCTTATTGAACTTTATTTTACATTTCTATCCTTATTCTCATTGATTTAATTGGATCATCTAAACACTCTCTCCCCTTAATACTTGAATTTGTGGCAATATAAAAATTAAACAACATAGTCCATGCGAATCGATTTCGGCACTGCTTTTTACGCAGCAATTCGGTGTTAAAAAATTTTTATTGGAAGTTCAGAAGGGTATCACATACCTTGCCGAGAGTCTCAATACCTAGAGAAAGACTAACGTAGACATTCTCAGTTAAATCACTGTGCAAGAAGATATTTTTTACATTCATTTGAATGAGTAACCAACAAGCAAGTAAAGACCGAATAATGATAAGTTTAGTGACCTGAGCAAAGGGTTCCACATAGTTAATATCATACTTTGAGAGTAGCCTTTCGCCATAAGATATGCTTTGTAGCGCTCAATCGAATCGTCTGAGTGAGATTTATTCTTATAAACCCATTTGCACCCAATAGGGTGTTTGCCGTTGGTAAAGTCACAAAATCCCAAGTGTTTGTCTTCTCAAGAGTTTGTAGTTCCTATGACATAACTCTCCATAAAAAAGGGTTTGTATTCGCCTCCTAAAAGGACTTGAGTTCATAGTGAGATAATATGGCAGAATAATAATAATAATAATAATCAAGAAGGTGAGCAGGGCGTTGAGTTATACAAGTTGATCAACAGATAGTGGCAGCAGAGACATCAAGTGAAGACTCGGGAAACCCTTCAGGAGGTATATACATGTTTGCTTGAGAAGATAAGGATGACAGGATTGTGTCGGGAGTAGTAGATATGAGCTCATGACCTGCAGAAGTAGGAAAAAATAGAGAGAGATCATGAGTGAGTAACTAAGAAATAGAGTAAGATGAGACATTGAATTTGGACACTGATGAGAACATTTGATGCTCCTAGAATATGGTACAAAGATGCTTAGACACGGGATCCCATATCGATAATCCTTATGTTGTACTTCATAATCCAATATGCAATACAAACAAGCCCACGGTTCAAGCTTACTGTATTCATAAGGCGAAAAATTAAAAGTAATCAACAAGTTGACCGAAAGAGCTTTTAAAAAGAAGCGGTACCGTGAAAAACAAGAATGACAACCTATTTATGAGGAGGATAAAAAGACGCACAAACTGTATCAAGAATGTGACGATATTTATGCTCTGTTCGACTATATTTTTCGGGATGTGTATGGACAAGGCCGCTAAAAAGAAATATCCTGAGCAGAAAGGAAACTAAGAAACATAATCATTATACTTTAGGGAATTATAAGTACGCAATATTTGAATAATACAAGAAAATTAAGTACGTATCATTTTGGCATAGGTGATTTAAATTGACGCAAGTTCAGAGCGTTGTTTTATAAAGTAAATCGAGAAAAGTAATTGAAAATCACAAAATATTTTTACACATTCATTGATCCTACTTGTAAAGGCTCCTAAATATCTGAATAGAAAAAAAAAAGTTTATCGGCAACAAAAATATTTTGAGAAAATAAAAAAAAGGTAGATTTTTTCCAAAATTATAATGCATACAATCAAACGACTAAGACACATAGGACTTAAGACACTTATATTGACAAAATATTGGAGTCTGTTTAGTGACGCATGTTCTAACTAAAGGTGTCACTAATAACTAGAAGGAGATGACAAAACTGCATTTGAAAGAGGTAGGGGATGGAGAATCTGAAGGTGACTAGACTCAAAAAAATCAATTGGTTTGTGCTCCGTTCCAACAAACTGACCCGTTTGTGAATCCTAAACCTACACACTAGAAGATGAAAAAGTAACCGTAAATCTTTGCTTAACCAACTGACCAATCAAAACAAGATTTAAGACTAATTGAGTGATGCAATAAATATCAATAAGAGAAAAAATAAAATTGAAATATCACCGACGTAGATTATATGCAGCTATTGACAATGTGTATACGACATAAGATTGTAGTGACGGAAGCTATAGCAAATGAAACACTATGTTCCAAAATAAATCCCCAAAATAAAATTAGATTAGCTCAACCCCAAGTCTAAGTCCAACAAATATTAGCAAATCAAATTCCAGAGCATCACTTTCATAGGGCTCTTCATCTTGATTGCTGCAACAGGTATCCCTGAAATGCAAGGGGGCGGTGTTGGGATGGATGACTGGTGGAGGAACGAGCAATTGTAGGTGATTGAGAGTGTTGTCGCACCTGTTTGTTCTAGTTCAGGGACTGCTCAAGATGCTGAGCTGTACTTGTCCAAGCGGATGTGGACGTCGCTGCTGATCCCACCACGCTGCTCATGATGAACATGGTCGGCACGGTGACTAGCACGTACGACTCGTGGTAGCTGCTGTTCGGGAGGCTCTTCTTTGCTGTATGGGTGAAAAGCACCTGTACCCCCGCCCACTCCTCAAGGGGGTGGCCGGGAAGCGGGAGAGGGAGGGTAACCACGGTGGTGCTCATCCTGCTCGCCTCTCTACCCACACTCTACTGTGGGTGCGGATCAATCCCTTTGCTGCCAGAGATGATGGCCTCAACTGCAAGTAACTACTGACTATGGGAGGAGGAAGATGTATGATGATGATGATGGATATGATCCATCACCCAATCATCCATTTTTTGGCCAATAGACTAAACAAGACTAGCTGACCGATCGATTCATTCATTCATTGACTGTGATTGGCCGTGTTGGTGGAGGCTGCAGCCAACCTGCGTGCGTGACGTCACCTAATGTACTTACGGGTATTTATTGGGTTGTATGCGTCGCGTGTAAATGAAATCCGACGGAGGGAGGATTCTGACTGTCACTCAGTCAGCCTTACTTACATACACATACATACATACCTACGTACTAACTAGGAGCATTCTTACACAATCAGTACTACTGCTATACTATATTTGCTCTAGCCGCATGATTCAAGCACCGCTCAACTGAAGCGGTTTTGTTGGGCCTACTGGTACTACACTAACCACGGCAAAAATGCACGGCCAAATACCATAATAGCAACAACAATAATAATATCAATATCATCTTTTCATAGAAAACTTTGAATGAACACCAATGGACGCACTTCGTAATAGCACAGTTTAGAAAGACAACATGAGAAGGAACAGGAACCGGAAGTCAATATATTTACTGATGATACAATCTATCGATTCAGGCAGGTTGTTAGAGATGCTAGTTCAAGTGACAGGGACCACGGCCAAAACTCAAGAAGCTACCACTTTCTGACAACATACACCCAAGGCGCCCCCCACAGTCTGACATCCCAATATTTAGGCGGTTCCCTTGAACTTGGCATCATATTCGTAAGGTTGCTGCAAACCAAAACAATAACACCAAACCACTCGTAAGCAGAATGAATTTCAACACATTTCCATGCACAATTAACTTATTGCTACTGCAATGCAAATGAACTAGCCAACATGTAAGAAAAGATTATTTCACACCCACATATATGTATATATATATATATATTGAATGTTATCAATCAACATGATGATCATATATTTTCCCAATCATGAGGATTCTTTCTTGAATCTAGATGCAAATAAACATATGCAAGAATACCAAATTACCAAGAATATTGCTGAGATCAATCTACGAGCAAACCATCTCTTATGCATAGCTTGCTGAGAGCGTGATGCTGCTTCCACACTTTCAAACCTCAAATAAACATAGCCAGCACTATTCCTGTATGTCAGTAAAATATCAGTTAGAAGCATAAAGTTTGCCCATCCAACGAGATCATTTTTGAACCTATGCATGTAAATGATCAGGACATCAACATTCACAAAATACAAGATTCAACATGAAAATATCTAGATCAAGCTCAGGATCCGTCCCCAAAACATGCTTACTTGTCAACATGGATGTGCCTCACTCGGCCATACTTGGAACATTCTTCTTGTACATCATCTCTAATATCTAGATCAAACTCAGGATCCGTCTGCAATATATTACAGGTATAAATGTAAAAGGAAAAAAAAAATCCATCATCGAGAAGAACAGCAAGCAGAAGACATTAAACCTCAGTGGCTGGATCAAACATATTTTTCAACAGCAAACACTCGCTGGGGGTACCAATAGGTTCTGGAACCATATAGACAGCTTGCGCGGGGAGAACTGGGCTTGGAAGGACTGTTGCTGGGTTGATAGGCATGGTGATATTCTGCTGTGATGAAGCTGATCCATTCAGTGCAGGTACTCCCAAAGAACCCACAACACTGAAAGAGACAATCAAGTCCATTTTCACATTAAATTTCAATCTGAGGAAAACTATTAATCTTACAAGAACCCACAGAAAACCTCGAAGCTATGCCACTGCGATCAAGCTTTGCCATAAGCATTGCTCTAGACTGAGCATTTAAAGCCTGTAAAATTGCAGATACAACAGTTGTATGGTTAGACACAGAGGCAATTGCTTTATAATTCATTAATTTGAGTTCTAGTTCCCTAGACCTAAAAATTTGTAACGAAATAAAACAGCTTTGCATTATTTGTAACTATCAATTGGTACTAGTACTGTAATACTGTTGGTGTTAATGTGAACACTACTGCTGACATTCTGTGATGGTTCAATAGAGAACTCACTGTCATGCACCTTGCCCATCTGGTATTATTGAGTAACATGTAGTGAATATCAGATAACCGCAGCCTCTTAAAAAGTAGTATATAGTAATAAAACTAGAAGTTTAACATACCAAACCTCCACCATCATCATCATCAAAATCAGCTGTTTTGGTGCCAGTATCTTGTACTCCAACATGATCAGTAACAGAAGAAACCTGAAGATGATAAATAAAGAGGAAAATCAAGAAAAGGAAGATGAATCCTGGAGAGCACGACGACAGCTCAGATAAAAAAGTACAACCATATTCAACAATCACAACATGGGAAATAAAAACCATAACAAGTTACCTTAATGGTCCGCCCAGCAATCTCCAGTTTGCCATTCAAACTTTGGGCTGCTTTTGCATGTTCAAGCTGTGCAAACTGTTGATTTTTAATAGATCAAATAATTAATACACTTAACACTAAAAACCATAATGATAATGAATTAACAAATCATCACCTGAACAAACCCAAAACCCTTGCAATGTCCGGTCTCTGGATCAGTTGGAAGTTGCACAAGCTCAACAGGACCAAATGCTTCAAAAATCTACAGAAGGGGCATATTTAAGATGTATAAAATGTGCTAAAAGTCCACAAGGATAGTAGTAGATAAATAATATTCATTGAGAAGATAATACAGTATACTCCCTCCGTGATCGAAAAATAGGCTCATTTACTTTTCGCACAGGTTTTAACGTGGTGTGTATTTTTTGCCTGTTATAGTGAGAAAAAAAATAAAAAATAGTAGGTGGTATGATCTTTTCTTTAAAAAAAAAACAGAAACAGACCTTTTTTTTTTTAATGAAAGAAGAAGTATTCAGTAGTTGCAGAGTTTCAAGCAAAAATGGTATCCTATTAGCAGCTAGTGATTGTGCAACATAAAGAGAATACATGTGAACAGACAAGGAGAAAATAAGCAACCACATAATTCTCAAGGATTGAGAAAGTTCAGTTGAAAATTAGCACATGACTCAGGTCTCCACAGCCCACACCATCTTAATTGATTAACAACATAAGTGACAATTTCTGTATTCAAATTTTACCTGAATAACTATTACATAACTAATGGCCATTGAAACTGGATATAGATAGCATGACTAATTATAAAAAAAAAAAAAAAGAAAAAGCCCAATTGATATCACCACATAAAACTGAGGGATATAGTTCATAATGTAAATATGACATAGTAGAAAACACGAAAAGCCACCTGTTTAAGTTGAAATTCTGTCATGTTGAAATGTAGATTGCCAACATATAGCTTCCTATCCGTTACACCATAAGGTCCAGCGACTCCAGAACCACCAGTAGTAGTATTTGATTGAACAAGATTCTTTTCTGCCTCTGAAGGTTTTACCATTATTGGTTGTCCAAGAAATAGGTGACCAGACAGTGCTATAGCCATTGGGACAGACATAGCATCATAAAACTCAATGTACCTGTCATAAGGGTACACATTTCCAATCACTGAGCAGAACAAATAAAAAACAATGAAGTTGCATACTGCTATACAAAGACGATGGAGCTGAACCTTCCTAACAGGTCGGACACCCATCTTTGTACTAAAATGAAACAAGGCACTGAGAATAGACTCTCAAACTAGTAAAATTTACCATCCACACAAACATCCTGTTGACATTAATTTCCACTATGAATGCAACGACTGTAACTACAAGCAATAAAAGCACAACTGACAATACTCTATATCTATAACTATAACATATAACCACTGAATTGTTTTGAAGTCACTGAACAGATAGCCATCAGATGCTTCTCTTGAAAGCAAGGTTGGCATGGTGAGGCTATGGGCACAGTGCCACCTGAGAGCCATATCGCCTAGGCTAGACAGCGCCCGCCATGGCAACCTACTTATTATAAATTTCTAATATTTATTGTATAATACAAAATTATAACCTTAAATCACTAAGGGTGTGTTTGTTTGTGGGTTTTAGTTTTTTGGGTTTGGATTATTGAATAGGTAAAAAATTGAATTTGAATAGATGTTTGATGTAATATAAATAGAGGTTGATGTAGAAATCAATGTGATGTTTTGAATGTAAAATAAATTTAGAGCATAATATAAAAATAAAAATAAAAAAAAAAAAAAAAGTAATTGTTTGATGTGATATTTTTTTAGGGAAAAAAGAATCTGAATAGTAAAAACCTGAGGTAAACCTCACAAAAAAACACAACCTAAATGACCAAAATACTAATATGTCAAAATACAAAATCATCACCATTAACTTTCCATACTAAAACATTACACCATTAAAGTTTCAAAATACAAAATTATAACCTTAAATTACTAAACATCACCATCAAAATACCAACAGTGGCCGGCAGAGAGAAGAGGGAGAAAATACACAGTAGCAGAGAGCAGATAGGGTTAGGCGATAATAGGATTCAAATGGGAAAAAGCAGTAAAACAGGTCGGGTCAAATAGAAGTATGTGTCATAATCTCCCGAACTCGCCATTTGGCATCACACCACGATTCTGCCAAAGATGCCTGGCTGCCAGCCTTGCCAAAAACAGCGAGGCAACCTGTCAAGGCGGTGATGGTGCACCACCAGGACGCCAAGGTGCCGCCTAGGCAACACCATGACAACCTTGCTTGAAAGGATACAAAAATCCCAATTACAATTCAACTACAAAAGTAAGATTCCATGAAAAAGTACAGACAGAAAGTGCACCGTTAACCAGGGAAGTAGTCGCAAAAACTTAATAGTTGCTCAAAATTTCAACTTTAACCTTAGAAATGAAACAACGCGAAATTCATCTTGCATTTAAATTTAAAAATCAAAACTAACATTCATAGCACATAAGAGAAATGGATATATCTAAAGTTGTTCCTTTGGACAGGGGAGTAAGATATAAATTATTAAGAATATCAAACTGAGAACAAGAACACATACCCAACTCCTTTTGAACGCCTTGAGTTCCTATCCATTATTAGTTTTACATCCCTTACCTAGAAAGAAATTTGAAACACAAAAAAGAGGTAAGACAAATTAGGGATAAGAGTGAAAAAGGCAAACTACCCACCTTTCCCGCTTGTGAAAAGAATTCAAAAACATCTCTCTCTGTAGCCTTAAGTGGCATCTGCAATAATAAATGGCAGAATGGGAATTTTAACAATATGGTAGGACAATACATGATATTGAAGATTAAAAATGTTAGAAAATCACCGAGATACATCTTTCAAAGTAAACTCTTACAAAAAGTCATAACAGTCTCTTACCTGATATGCAAAAACAGTTCTCTGATCCCTTTCTGGATCAGCTTCAGGCTCCACGACTTCCTTTTTATCCTTGAACCTCCTGCATGGATGGCTCAGAGTAAAATAAGAAAATATCCAAAAATATGGAAATGTCGGCAATAAAACTAAAAACTTCACTGTGTGATAGAGATTCCACATAAGATAATAATAATCATCACAATCCATTTTTACATTCTTCCAATCCATCCCACAGGCAAAAAATAAATAATGAATAAATAGAGATGGAATCCCCAACACACACTTTTTACACATCCTATACCAAATGAGCAAACTGAAATGATACTAAGGCTCATAAAAGAACTGCCCCTATCACTATGAATTTATAGCATACAGGTATTATATATATACAGCGTTATCTCCCCATAACAAAATTACATTGGAGCTATATATTAAACATCATCTCAAGCCTAATCAGTGAAGAATGTAAAAAGGTTGAAAACATTTTACAAAATCATTCCCGCATAAGCCCAATGAGTGAAGGAGGCCACGGGGTTTAAAAATTTTTACGAAATGTTTCCCTAAAACCAATGGGAGAGCCTTATTTACAAAGTCTTCACTCAGCATTCAAGTAGCCTAGCATGAGCAAGACACATTAGAAATATTCTTCACATAATTCTACTAATGATGTTGCAGCCAGTGCAGATTTCAGGGGCCCATCTCCAAGTCATCATTTCTAAATAAAACAGTGGGAATGTGGAAGCCTGCAGTTTTGGTCCTGTAAATTCATGAATGAAGATCCATAGTACAATATATATCAACTTTCAAGGGATCAAGCTAAAACACTAAACCTAATGACAAATATTTTAAATTTGAGGCCCAGTAAATAAAATTTGTTATTCATAAATCCCTGAGCAGAGAAAAGGGGGGCCACAAATATGGAGCTAAAGCAATTTCATCTTCGAAGTGAAGAAAAGGATGGAAAATTGATACAGCTTCACCACATGCGTTGCCAACCTAAAAATTGAATACACCATCGGTCAATATCTCAGCTCAGAGATATGAAAGTAACCCTATATCGAAATATGCAAAAACATTAGAAGGATGGAAGAATGAGCCAAACTAAAATCCCAGAAACAAAGAAACACAACAGACCTTATCAAACTCAATATGGAAATCCACTTTCTTCAGTGAAGAAGCCTTGATGGGGTTTCCGCATTGTTAGCCCATTAAGATGTGCAAACAATCCATCTACGATTTCAACCCAAGTTAGAATACTATATTCTCTACGTGCAAACTCAGTTTTTTTTTTTCTTTTTTTTTTGTTTCTGTAGCTAGTCCTTTTTATGCATTTCCTTCAAGTGCAAGTCCACAGACAAGTGAAAAAAATAGACGATGGCTAAATGTAATTGGGATTAAAATCAGACTTGTGCATTTGAAATTGTAGGAGAAAAACCCCTAGTATTCTAATCCTTTCTTATATAAATTCCTTCTAATAATGAATGACTTAAACAAGAAACTTAAAATGCCATAAAAACAAAGAGCATGGAAAATTGAATTTCGGACCCTTGAACCAAGAGTGAAACGAAAAACAGCTTTAAGTGAAAAAACAAGCTATGGCATTGTGCAGATAAGATAGTAGTACTATGTTTAAATGGAAATGGTTTCACCATCTTGAGGCTTTATATGAATGCCTTCGAATGCAACCAATTGAGTGCATCACAGATCAAAATTGAGACAGTAAGAGCAAAGCAAATCCCCATAGCATTTGGCATAGCATTGTAGATCAACTTCAAAGTAGTAGTTCCAATTCCAAAGACCACAATAAATATAAACAAATCCAAATTAAAAGCACAAAACATTAGGAAAGGGAATACTAGATCAGTCAGGCTATATATAACAAGAACGATGGGGATTAACATCACCTGCTTTCATCCCGCTCCCTTTCCTTCAACAGCTCCCTCTCTTTTTCGTGCTCCAGCCTCGAGCGACTCCGGCTCCTCCTCGCCCGCTCCCGCTCTCGCTCCTTTTCTCTCTCCCTCTCTCTTCTCTCTTTCTCTCTATCCCTATCCCGATCCCTATCTCTTCTCTCTCTATCTTTCTCCTTATCCCTGTCTCTCTCCTTGTCTTTCTCCCTCGAGCTCCGCCTCGCGCTTTCAGAGTCTCTCTCTCGACTCCGGTGCCTTGAGCTCCTCTCCCTCTCCACATCCCTATCCCTATCCCGATCCCGATCTTTCTCTCTGTCGCGTCCGCTCTCCTCACTTCGAGATTTCTTGCGGCTGCTTTTGGTATCCTTTTCCTCCTCATCAAAGTCATCGTCTACGCTCCTTTCCTTTCTTCTGTAGCCTCCCTTGTCGCTCCTCTCCTTGTCGGGAGTTTCCTTCTTGGAGGGGGCGATGGTTTCCTCCACGGCCTTCTCCAAGTAGTCGTACTCATCGAAATCCATGGCAATGCCAACCTCGATTAGACAATCCACGAGACAAAGTAATGTAACTTCAGTTTATGGGAAACCCTAGTCAGTGGGTGGATACGGGGATTCGATTAGGGTTTTGGGAGACGGGGGGGCGAATTCCGTCCGAGCGATGAATTGGCGGATAATGGGTGGGCGTTGTGTTGTAGTACTAGTAACAATTGGTGGGATGGATGGATAGCTGATGGATAATGGGTTTGAGTGCTTCTGCTTCAACTCGAGTTGGGCTTTTGGGCTGGGTTAAAAATCCGTATTTTTTATTCTCTTAGCAATCTCCAACTCATAACTCCATTTTTACAGAGTTTACATATATTTCTTAATTTTTGCAGGTATGCTACAGTATCTCCAACTATACCCCTCTATTTTTGCAGGGTTTTTTCTCCAACTATACCCTCCATTTTTGCAGGATTAACAAATATTCTCTCTATATTTTATTTTACATAATTTTTAAAATTACAAATAAAATTTAATATTTTATTATTTTTATACATTTAAGTTATAATAATATTTTTAATTAATATTTTAAATATTATACCGAAAAATTATATTTATTAATATTGTATGCATAATTTTATATTGTATTTTTAAGTTTATTTTTTATTTAATGTTATGATATTTTTTATAATTAATGTTATTTTTTATTTATAAATATTATAATATTTTAAATTTAATATATAATTTATAATTATTTTACCGTAATCAATTAATTATAAATTTTAATAAATATTAAATAAATAAATAATTTACTATAAATATTAATTACAAAATTATAATAAAATTAAAAGTAACAAAAATAAAATAAAATAAAATATATAAAATATAAGCTTAAAACAAAATAATAAAATAATAAAATAAATAAAATATAAAAATATAAACAAAATAAAAAAATTAATATAATTTTTGATTTTGTTGATGATATTTAAAAAATTAAAAATTAAATAAATATAAAAAAATAGATAATTACATAAATAAATAGATAATATTAAAAAGAAATAGATAATTATATTAAAATAAAAAAGAAAATTGCACCCTGCTGGAATCAGCGGGTGCTACAGTATTCCGCTGGTCCTGTAGCACCCGCTGCCAGTGGGTGAATTCTGCAAAATTGAAGGGTGGATTGGAGCAGTTTTTTTCTCCCCACCCTGCAAAAATAGAGGAAAATCTCATCGATTGGAGATGATCTTAATAAGACACTTTTGAGTCGGATGAAAATAGGTCAGACTGTCTATCCGGCGTCAACGTCCACGTTTTAATCTCCTACTAAAAGCCTAGCCGAGCCTAGCCTACATCTATTTAATATTATTATTTTTTTATAAAAATAAAAAATATTTTTTATAATTATATATAAAAAATAACTTTCTATTTAATAATAATATTTACTAAATAATTTAAATTATAAATTTATTATAAAAAATAGAATTTTTTAAATTTTATATATATTAAATAATTGTTTATACTTTATTTATTTTTTATTTTTAACTAAATTTTCAGATAAATAAACAAATAAAAATATTATGCAGTAGGCTTGTAAGACAGCTTTTAAAAAAGTCAGACTCAAGCTTTTAAAAAAAATAAAATTAGACTTACAGACCAGGCTTAAACCAAATATTTTTAAAACAGCCCAGTCATATTTCCATCAATGATAGACAAAATTGAAGATGTCAGAAATTTGAACCATGAAATAATCGGTGATTTGTCTGAAACTTTATTTGACTATAAGTTCGTTCTGATATGAAACTTATCTATCTTTTTTTATATATATAACGTGGGACTGTAGCCACTGCCCGAAAGTACACAAAGAGTAAATCTCTGCCGAACTTATGAATATTATCCATCTTGATTGGTTGGCATACACCCATACATATTTCAATAATATTTATTACTTCATTTGTCTCATATAAAAAGCAACATTATAATTTTAGCATAGGAATTTAGGTATATAGAATAAAATGTAAATTAGGTAATACGATAAGATTAAAAAAATTATATTTATTTATTTATTGGAGTGGTATGATGAAATAAATATATTAATTATTTTTTATTTTGAAAATATTAAAATATGTATAGGACATATAAAATAAAGAATATTGTAAAATATATAAGAACGAATGTAGTATTATTTATGAGATCAGTGGAGATGATAGTGGAGCTGTGGTGAATTTTAGACTATTACCAATATACAAGTATTTTACAGCATTATTGAAGAGCATGTTCAATTTTTTTTCTATTAAAGTAATAGCAAATGAGCCTTGACTAACAGGCTGACAAAGGTAACTTGGAAATAAATGAGACCCCAATGATCCAATTTTGTTATAATTAGAGCTGTTAAAACGGATTGAGCTCATCGGGTTGGCCCGCCTCGTTTTATTTTTAAAGAGGGTTGGGTTGTGATTTTTTAAACCCGTTAAAATGTGAGTCTAAATTGACCAAAAAAGGCCTTCCGTTTTCCCCCTTCGTCGGCCCTTGCCGCCTTCCTTAACAAACCCTCGAGCCTTATTATTTTACAAATTCATAAAATTAATTATGATTTATTTTTAAAATGAAGTATTTTTTATTATTAATTTTTTTAAATACACCAATTAATAATATTTAGAATTGAGAATTTTTATATTTGTTATTTATTTTAAAATATTTATTATTTAAATTCTACAATAAAATTAGTTTTAGCTATTTTTAAATATTAATTATGAAAATATTTATAATATTAATATTCTTTTAATATTTTTAAAAAGCCCGTGGGCTAGCCCGCTTAGCTTGCCACCCGCCGGTGGGTTGGGTTGGGCTGATGAAATTTTGATCCGCCCCGTCGCGGTTGGCCCGCAAACAACCCGCTTATTTGCGAATTAGAGTGAGTTGTGGGTCAATCCGCCCTACTAACCGCCCTACTAACCCGTTTTGACAGGTCTAGTTATAATACACTCTAACAATCAACCCCGTTAATCCAAAAACAACAATTAAGCATGTGAATGTTACATTAAAAAATTTTCCTTCAGGTTTTTAAGTGTAAGTAATTATACATAATATCCATTTATGCCACACCTTACAATGTAAGCAATCTTCTTAATTGTCAAAATGAATGAATCATTTTAGTATCAATAGCATTTTTGGATTGGACGAACTTGAAATCAAATTGGAATGACAAATCAGAAAGAAAGTAGAGTGAAAGTTGCTCCAACTTCCTAAGGAAGCTATCCAGAGGAACGCATCAATGAGAGAGCATCCCACAGCTTTAATTCCTCCAGTTGTGCAGGACGATTTGTTCTGAAGGAATGGTTATTCGAATTTGACCCATATAAGCCTTATTAAACTCTAAGAACAGTTTTGTTAACTATTATCTCCTTATGAATTTGGTGGCAGCTCTTTTCTACAAGATCGAGTAACTTCTCTAGATTCATAGCCCATGAGTTTAAAATGTTGTTACTGTCCTTGCATTCTGGAAACATACTAGTGGAGAATTAAGTGGATTAGATGAAAATTGAAGAAGATTGGGGTAAGAATTGGGATAAGGTTGGATAAAAGGGCAAGATTAGTGAAGGATGGGAGATAGTTGAATAAGTACTTAAATTAATGGCAACCGGGCTAAAGGCAATGAGAGATAAGTAGAAGCTAACTTTGGAGCAATGAAACGGGAGGTCATTGGAAATGATGAGGCAAATGGAAAGACATCATGGACAAACTTGACATGTCAAGACAAATATACACACCCTAGATATAGGATTGAGATACTTAAAATCAGACAGATTGACAGCATACACAAAAAAAAAAATAAAAAAATACAAATCACAGATCGAGGTTGCAACTTTGTAGACATGTAAAGTCGAAACCAAATGAAGCAGAGACAACCAAAAGGTTGAATTTTGGTGTAATGAGATATTTTAGAAAACAATTTTTTGTAGGGACTGACGTTTTGGAGTTTTGAAGTGGGCATCCGATTTATTAAATAGACTAATGTTTGAAAGATATAAGACCGAAATTAAATAAACGTCGAAGAGTAATATAATAAAGCTAAACCAGTTTCAATAATGTGTATGTGCCGACGTATAATAGTACTATTATGTTTAGGAGTACGTGGAGGTGTGGTGTAGTGAGAAATACCCATTGAGTTCAATAATGGAATTAATTTACGATATTCATCACCATTATCAGAAAAAATAATAATTAAAAAAAAACCCAAAAAAGTTTTCCAAAAATGGTTTAAATTGGAGGAAAATTTGGTAAACATTAGACTTATTTGGTAAACGTCAATTGTGATAAGTTCAAGAAGTTTGGAGCTAGGTATGAAATTAAGGAGACATTGTGACATTGTGACACTTCACAAGAAACACAAGAAAAAAAAGTCCAACTACTTAGAATTAAGGAGACATTGTGACACTTCACCATTGTGGCAATGATAACTCTTGATTTTGTCATATTTTATAACTTATATTTATTTAATTAATTATTTATTTATGTCGAATTTTGGTATTATTTATGTTAATTTACTCTAATAATTATATTCATTTCATCTTGTTTGTATAATATTAATTTATTAGTGTTACGTACGAAATTTAGAATTAGGTTAAAAGCCCAAGGTAAAAAGAAGAATGGGCCCAGCAATAGGGTTGATTGAACTGGCTGAAGGACATCGTGAGGAAATCAAGGAAAATAGATTTATTTCTAAGGAAAATACAAGACGGAAGGTCCTCAGGTCGGTAGGTCCTCAAGACGGAAGGTCCTCAAGACGGAAGGTCCTCAGGGCGGAAAGACCTCAGGTCGGAAGGGTCTCAGGTCGGTAGGTCCTTAAGACGGAAAGACCTCAAGACGGAAGGTCTTCAGGTCGGGAGGTCCTCAAGATGGAAAGACCTCAGGTCGGAAGGTCTTCAGGTCGGGAGGTCCTCAAGATGGAAAGACCTCAGGTCGGAAGGTCTTCAGGTCGGGAGGTCCTCAAGATGGAAAGACCTCAGGTCGGAATGATCTCAGGTCGGTAGGTCCTCAATACGGAAAGACCTCAGGTCGGAAGGTCTTCAGGTCGGGAGGTTCTCAAGACGGAAAGTCATCAGGACGGAAGGTCTCCAGGTCGGTAGGTCCTCAAGACGGAAAGTCATCAGGACGGGAAGTCTGCAGGTCGGGAGGCTTTCAGGTCGGGAAAAGGAAGAAAGTTAAGATCTCAA